AAAAAAAAAAAAAAGGAGGCTGGAGCTTCAGTCACTGTTCAGCTGAAACGCGTCAGTCTCACAGACTGACCAGGCACCCCAGTGGAACCCCACCCTGAAGGGGTGTGCCAGCCTGAAAACAGCATCAGCCCTTCATCAAGGCTGCCAAGCACCCCAGTGGGAACCCCACCCTGAAGAGGGTGTGACCAGCTGCAAAAAGCCATCAGCCCCTCACCCAGGCTGCCAGGCACCCCAGTGGGGAACCCCCACCCTGAAGGGGGTGTGACCAGCTGCAAACAGCCATCAACCCCTCACCCAGGCTGGCCAGGCACCCAAGCAGGACCCCCACCCTGATCCGGGACACCCTTCAGGGCAAACCAGCCGGCCCCCACCCGTGCACCAGGCCTCTATCCTATAGAGTAAAAGGGTAATATGCAAACTGACCCTAACAGCAGAAAGACTGGGAATGACTGGTCACTATGACACACACTGACCACCAGGGGGCAGACGCTCAATGTAGGAGCTGCCCCCTGGTGGTCAGGGCACTCTCACATGGGAGGAGCTCTGCTCAGCCACAAGCCAGGCTGATGGCTGCCAGTACAGCGGTGGTGGTGGGAGCCTCTCCTGCCTCCTCAGCAGCGCTAAGGATGTCCGACTGCAGTTTAGGCCTGCTCCCCGCTGGCAAGTGGACATCCCCCGAGGGCTGCCGGGTTACCAGAGGGATGTCTGATTGCCAGCTTAGGCCCGATTCCCCGGGGAGCAGGCCTAAGCCAGCAGGTGGTCATCCCCCCGAGGCGTCCCAGACTGCGAGGGCACAGGCTGGGCTGAGGGGACCCCCCCCCCCCCCGAGTGCACAAATTTTTGTGCACCGGGCCTCTAATATATATATAATTTAAAAAAAGATTTCCTGTATTATTAATCCCTTGGCTTTGTCTTCTTATGTTTAATAATCCATCTCATCCTCTCTCAAGGATCCTATTAAATCGTTCCCCTAAAGTTTCCACAATCCTAACCAGAGTGAGCTTCTGATAAGCTATATGCCTTTTGGGTTTGCAAACCACTTGTCCTGGGGAGTCACCAAGCCTTACTGATCTACCTCCTGAACATCCTGGCAATTCTTCCTGACTCCCTCACCATCCTGATCAGGATGGGACTGTAACATCTTTTTTTTTTTTTTGGTTAATCCTCACCTGAGGATATTTTCCCATTGCTTTTAGATAGGGTGGGAGGGAGGGAGGGAAGGATATATATATATATATATATATATATATATATAGAGAGAGAGAGAGAGAGAGAGAGAGAGAGAGAGAGGGAAACATAGATGTGAGAGAGGCACACTCGCCCTGACTGGGGCTGGGGATCAAACCTGCAATCCAGGTATGTGCCCTTCACTGGAAATGAACCTGAGACTCTGGTACACAGGCTGATGCTCTAACCACTTTGCACACCGGCCAGGGTGGGACTATCACATCTTAATGGGTTCTCCTTTCTGCCTCCCTTCTATCCAACTTGGCTCTGCCATCCTATCAGCTTTCTCAATCTCGAGTTAGAGCCCAGACGCCCCAGAATGGCCCACCAGACCCTTTTCAAGCCCACCTCAGTCTGTCTCCCTATTCTCAGATTCCACCAGACACTCAAGCTTCCAGCCTCACCTGATCACTCACCCTATTCTGAAAATATCAATTTCTTGCACACTTCCTTCATTACACCATCTCTTAAAGCCCCCTATTTTTCACCTCTAAGCATAACTAGTAGTAATTTCTAAAATATATTGAATACTTATGTGCCAGGTACTTTTCTAAGTGGCTCACATGTATGACCTCCCTTAATCCTCAGAAAACCCTATGATGTAGGGACTAAGATCCCCATTTTACAGATAAGGAAAGTGAAGTACAGAGAAGCTAAGAAATCTGACAAGGTTACACAGCTAGCCAACACTGGGCGGAGTGAGGATTAGGTTCAGCCAGTCTGACCCAGTGTTGGCACTCTACTTCCTCCCCCACCTCCACTCACTGCTTCTCTTCTTGGTAGGTGGCCTCTGAATGAATGCGGTACTTAGCTGATAGGGTGATCTCCAGTTGCACAGCTTCCTAAATAGTCTCCAGTGTATTCCCTTGCCCCTCTGGATATTCCCCTCCTGAACTTAAATGAGCTACTACTTATTGACTCCTCGGGCCTGCAAGGACATTTTGAATTCTAATCTTATGTTCTTATCACTTCCAGTTCTTTGTCCTTTTGGTAGTCGGTTCCTCAAAGGTTTCTCTTCCTCTGATTTTTTTTTTAAGTTTGTAACAAACACCTACTTTGTTCTTTTTCATTTTAATTTAATTAGACACCAGGGAGCTCATTGGAGAGCCTGCATTTCTTGGGCTTGGGAACAGTGAATTGAAAGGGAGAGGGACAGTGTGGCCCTCTGAAAGAATACTGGGACTGGGGCCAGGAAATCTGGGCTCTAGGCCTGACTCTGCTATACTGACTCAGGCAAGTGACCTCACTGCCTCAGTTTCCCCATGTCTTAAAATGGTTAAATCCACAGGCTTTGGGTCAATCTTGGATTTTGCTACTTACTGGCTATGTGATCTCTTGACCAAATTGCTTAACTACTTTGAATTTCAATGTCCCCTTCTATAAAAACTGGAATATCACACTATCTGTGGTTGTGAGAAGTACATCAAACATGTGAACAGCTTAGCCCAGTGCCTGAGACATAGCAGGCACTAATAAAATGTCAGCATCATCCTCATCTTTATGTGATGTTTAAGAACTAAGTAAGATGATGGAAAAGCTTTAGCGGTCTTAGGAGGAAAGGCTTTAAATCAGGGTGGGGAACGGCCAGCCCGCGGGCTATATAAGGTCTGCAAAATCATTTGGTCTGGCCCTGCCGAGGCAGTAGGGGTGAGTTAATGAAATGTTTGACCAAATATAGCAGGCTAATTTTTAAGTTGATAATTTTGTATGGCCCGTGAATGATGTTACAAATATCCAAATGGGCCTTGGCAGAGAAAAGGTTCCCCACCCCTGCTTTAAGTAAAAGCCAAATGTATTATTCTCAGGCCTACCTCTTTTTTTTCTTGCAATTGCACTGCAGTTCCTCACTCACTTTGATCAGAGGTCTTTACCCAAAGGCTTATAAGTTCCTTTAATACTTTTTTGCTTTTTTGTTTCTCTTTTGTTCCCTGCCAGGGCCCCTGCTTGTCTACACTAAACTGGCTTTGAGGCACAGCTTGCATCTAAGTTAGCTGTCCAAACTGCAGACCTTGGGAGTGCTCCCCCACTGGCCCGGCCCCCACACCTCAGAGGTTTGCACATTAAATCTAACAATTTAGCTGAAACACCCCCTTGGTTTCTGCCCTAGCAGCCCGCGAGGTGTGCCTGCACTCCCTGCCTTCACTGAGAGGCCTGAAGGTGCCACAATGCCACTGCCCCATTCTGGGGAGCCCAAGGCCGTCCTCCACAGAAAGCCCTGTTCTCTAATGTCAGCCTCACCCACCACCCACCTGTCTGCACGCAAGTTTCCTCCCCGTTTCTGCAGGCTGGTTTTGCCTTCTGCTGAGCTCTCTTTCTGCGTCCTTACCCTTTCCCTCCGGCCTACATGAAGTGAGACTTTCTGGGGTCTGACATTCCAAGCCCCCCACTGGGCGTTTCTCATCTTTGTTTATCTCTTCTCTGCAGTGTCCCCACCCCTACTTGGATGTTTGTTAGCTTGTTTATTAGACTTTCTTTTCCTGCCTGTTTCTCACCCATTTTTTTTCAGTGTGGGTGTATCAGCCTTGCTGGGAGCTGGCAGCCTCCCTCCTAGCTCTGACCCTGGCCTGGCCTCCTTGGCTTCTACCCAGCTTGAGCCCAGTCTTTGTTGCTGCTTCGGTCCAGAGTTCCCTGGGGGCAAGGCTGAGAAGAGGAAAAATGATGCTTGATTCCACCGCAGGCAGGAAGAGGCTGGGGGACCTCGCGCCCGGCCTCCCACCGTTTGAAGCAATGTGTTTGAAAAACAGCTCAGCACAGAGCCCTCTCTCTGCTGTCCCTTTTTTTGCCCACTGGCTTGAGCCCAAACTTGTGGGAGGACCTAGACCCCCACCCAGGCCAGCCCCAGGTTGCTGGCCCTACCTTGTGCAAAGAGGTCCGCTCCACCAGCTGGAAGGGGGCAGGGTCAATTTTGCAGTCGCTGAAGTTGACAGGTTCATCTAGTTGCTGCTCCTCCCACTCCAGAATCTGAGGGTATGAGACTAGGAGGGTTAGGGGAGAAGGGGCCATCAGCGGGCCCTCACCGCCCTGAAAGCTGGCCTGCCCCTTTTCCTACCCCATGGTCCCTCCCATGGGGGACAGAAGCCAAGATGATGACTGGAACACATCCCGGAAGGAAACAGAGTCCAGAGTCCCAGTCCCCACCTTACCTTCCTCCAGGGGGTCATTTTCACTTTCCCAGGGTCTGATTCGCTCTAGGAGAGAAGGGAGGGAGGCCTGCAGCTGGGCCTGGGGAGGAGGGGGGTCCCCCCACTGGGGGAGGTTTATCACCTACACCCTGGCCTGCCCTGTCTAGTGCTCCTGAGCTGCAGAAAGAAGTGAGCACTTACTGCCAGGGAAATTCGGACCCGCTTCAGCTTGCGCTTGTCACATGATTCCGACTTCTCCAACTTTGTTAGAGCCGAGGGGGAGAGAAGAGGAATTGATTTGATGTTATAGGGAGGAGGGAGGTGAGAAGCGTGGTGGGGGGTGGGGGGGGGAGGGTGCACTGCAAGGACAGAGCTGGCGTCCAGGAGGGCAGAAGGGCAGGAGAATGGAAGCAGGTGCTACAGGCTACTGGAGAGGTTATCTCAGCATTAGAGGTTGAGCTAGACGGAGAGGCTCCGCCACTCACCTCTGAAGCAGCGTCGGGGGGCGGACTGCCACAGAAGAGGCTCCTGAGGGCGATGCCAGCCTGCTCCACGTTCCCTGTGTTCCCAAACACAAGGCCCTGGGGCAATGTCATCTTTGGGGGAGAGGGGAGGAGGGCACGGGGAGAGGCATCTGGTTCTACCCCTGGTCCATTCAGGCAGCCTCTTCTCTGGGATGTGCCCCAGCTCAAAGGTTCGCAGGGGCCCTTGTGTGGTCTCAGAGGCCTGGCTCGGCTCTGTGGGAGCGTGGAGGGAGGTAGCGGGTGCTGGGCTCACCTGGGGGACTCTCCCTGAGGCTCATGGAGTTGCTGGACGCCCTCTTGAGAGCAGGCTTCAGGGGCTTGTGAGTGTCCCCCCGGACCGCAGGGAAGCCCGAGCCCTCTGTGCTCACCTGCACGGGCAAAGGGGCTGGTGAGGCTGTGGCCCCAGGACTCCTCTGACTCCTCTGGGTCGCCCTCCTGACAGTCTACGCACAGTTAGGAGGAGGTGTGTGCGACTGCAGGGCTTTCCCTACCTGGAAGCGGACTGAGCTCTCAGGGCTGGGGGGGCTCTCCTGATCGGGTGGCGGAGGAGTCTGGGCAGCTCTCCGCTCCTGCAGGTGCTGCCGCCGGCGGGCTGGGCTTAGCTGGGCCGCCAGCAGTGCCACCACCTGTGAGCGCTCAATGGAGCCCAGGAGGATCATTGACTCTGAACAGAGCAGGTGGGAGGACTCAGGAGCCGACAGTGAGGCCCTCCTCCCCACCCCCAACCTTCTCCGGCACTCAGAGTGGGGCCTTGGACACAGGCCACACACCAGGGGGCAAGGCCTGCCTGGCAAATGCCGGCTATTCCTGTTCCCTCCCGCTTCCTGAGCAGCGACCCTGGGAGAGGCTCATAGCACCTGGCCCCTTGCTGGTCTCACCAGAGGACTCAACTAGGGCCAACATGCGGCCCTTGGTCCTGTGCAGGGCCAACCGCAGGTCCCGGAAGGTGCAGCTGAGGGCCACATGGGGAACATCTCGTACCATGATGTCCTCCACTCGCACCCGGTACTGCCTGGGGGCAGAGAGAGGCACTTGGTTTGTGGTCAGCATGGGGCGGATAGCCGGAGCACTACCAGCAGGGCCATAAGGAAGGCCCAGAGCCCATGGGGACAAGGACTAAGGGCCAAGGAGTAGTCCCTGCCAGGGGAGCTCTGGACAGGGGGGAGCAAGGTGGCTGGTCGCCCAGCTTCACTGACTGTGGACCCTGCTGGAGTGGGTGTGAGGGGGTCCTCGGCCACCTTCTGCCCCTCACCCATAACCCCTCTGTTGCCCGGCCCTCCATACTGGTGGCGGCCCCAGCCCAGCTCAGGCAGATAAGGCAGTTTCTTGATTCGAATGATGCTGTCGTAGAGTGAGGGCTGTAGGCTCTGGGCCACAGCATTGGCCAGGATGACGGCGATCATGACGGGCAGGATGTGGGCGATCTGGCCTGTGAGCTCAAACACGATCACAGCCGTGGACACCGTGTGTGTCACTGCTCCTGCCAGTGCAGCCGCTCCTAGGGAAGCCACCTTTAGTCTCCTCAGGGCGCCCAGGGACCAGAGGACCCTCCCCACCTGGGGACGGTCCTTTGGGTACCCTCAGGGCAGCCCAGGGCAGTTCTGAGAACTGGGTTTCTGCATTTGAAGGAAGCCTGGTTCCTGCCAGCAGGGGGCACCAGAGCCTCAGACCCCGTGGCCCTACCTGTGGGGAACTGGAGCACTCACCCACCACTGCATAGCCCCCAGGCACAATCCGGTAGGTGCTGCTGTCCGTGTGAATCCCATCTGGGAACCAGGCGGCCATGCTTTCGCCCACCAGTCGCCCAAATGCTGCTCCTTCAGGGAGTGAGGTGGGAAGAGAAATAGGTAGTGGAGGGGGAGGGTGGGAACACTAGGAAGAGAGCGGGTCAGAGGGTGGGGGAGGGGCCAGTGGGTCATTCAGTGCAGGGGACAGTCCTCTGGGGTGGGCACTGGGACGGGGGCTGGACCAAAACCCACTCCCAGGCAGTGAGGGTATGGCCAGGGGGTAGCCAGAAGGTGGGAAGGGGAAACAGGCAACTGAGGACTCACCAATGACAAAGACAGGCATGAAGGCCCCACAGGGTACTGGGATAGTGGTGGCCAGTGCCGACATCCAGAACTGTAGGCGGAAGGCAGTTCAAACAGGTGGAGGTGCCACCCCAGCTCCACCCCAAGGACTCCACATTGCTTATCAGGTAAATGTAGATTTACCAGCTATCCCAGAATTCCCCAGGGATGAAGGACTCCAGGACCAGATGGCTTGGGTTTAAATTCTAACTTTGCCAGTAGTTATGTGATGTTGGGCCAATTATGATCCCTTTATGTCTCAACTTCTCATCTTTTTTTTTTTTTTTTATTGATTTCAGAGAAGAAGAGAGAGGAAGAGAGAGATAGAAACATCAGTGATGACAGGGAATCATTGATTGGCTGCCTCCTGCATGCCCCCCACTGGGGACCAAGCCCACAACCCAGGCATGTGCCCTTGACTGGAATCGAACCAGGAACCCTTCAGTCCGCAGGCCGACGCTCTATCCACTGAGCCAAACTGGCTAGGGCTCTTTTTTAATTTTATTGATTTTTAGAGAGGAAGGGAGATAGAAATATTGATGGGAGAGAAACATCAATAGGCTGCCTCTTGCATGCCCCCTACTAGGGATTGGCCAGCAACCTGGGCATGTACCCTGACCATCCTGACAGGGAATCAAATCGGTAACCTCTTGGTTCATGGGTCGATGCTCAACCACTGAGCCACACTGGCTGGGCTTGAATGCCCATCTTTAAAACAGGGAGGCTAATAGTACCTTTCCATAGCATTGTTGTAAGGCTTAAAGGAGTTAATATGTGGAAAGTGCTGAGAACAGTGCCTGGCACCTAATAAGCCTGTGTAACATTAGCTATACATTTGTAAGGAGCCCTACCTTCATGAGAATGAAGATGACCAGGGTGAGGAAGACATTGGCACGTGGAGGGCTCCAGGCCTGTGAAGTTCCGGGAGGCTCTAACTCCTCCACCAGGCCCTGGCGGACCCATGTCCGGTTGTCAAACAGGGTGACCAGCGTCTCTTTCTGTGAGAGCTATAGGGGAAAAGGGTGCCTCAGGCTGGGGAACACACAGGATGAAGGGAAGGGGCCCTTGGCGGGGCAGGGGCTGTTGGCTTTAGGAGGGGTGCATCCCAGAGGAAAAAGCATACGCTCCTGTTCTGCCTGGGGTTACCTGTCCAGCCATGAACTGCCCCAAGCCAGGGGGGAAGGTCAGCGTGGAGATGAGCAGGGTCACGAGAGCCGGGAAGAGCAGGCGTCTAGAGAGGTAGGTTCACAGCATCAAACACGGGCGGTGCACTTACTACAGGGGAGCGGCTGGGCGCCCTCACACCTCAGGGCGGAGGTCGCAGCAGAGCTTGGCTCTTACATAAAAGCACACGGTTCTGAGAGACGGTCCCCTTTGCTGTTCATGAGATGACGGCCCTGAGGGTGGTGGCCACTGGGGTTATCAGGAGCCCCAACAACTTTCTGTTGGCTCCAAACTCCCTCGGTGGGTAGCAGTGGCAGAAAGTCCACCCCCAGCTCTCTGCGGGACACCTCTGAGCTGTGTCTCCTGCCTTTGCCCTCGGCAGCCCTAGCTGAAGGGCTTTGTGCGAGAGGAAAGAGGTTCTGCCCCGTTTCTCTGTGGTGACTGAGGCTGAAGGTCAGCGTTAGGGGAACGAGGCTGGGGTCACAATGAAGTGGACCGAAGGTGCCACAGGGAGCAGGCTCAGTCGGCTGCCCTTTCCCTGAAGGACGTTAGTCCCAACAAAAGTCACGTCTCAGGCTTCCCCCTCCCAACCCTCAGGTCACAACTGAGAGAGCTGTGCTCTGGAGATTAAGAAAAAGTCTCGCCCATCTCCATGCTTCCCTGGAGGAAACAAAGGCTCAACTACTCTCCCGAGACCTGCTATCTGCCCCAGGCCAGGGCCAGGAAGTCTCAGATCTAAATCCCTCTGCTACTGACGACAAATTCAAAAGTGCCAGTTCAATCCACCAGGAAAACACCATTGGCTGATTTTCTCAATGGAGTGCCTATATTTTTAAAAACCCTCACCTGAGGATATTTTTTTCTATTGATATTTTTAGAGAGTGAAGGGAAGGGAGGAGGGAGAGAGAGAGAAGAATCGATGTGAGAGAGACATCAATTGGTTGCCTCCCGCATGTGCCCTGACTGGGGCTGGGGATCGAACTAGCAACTGAGGTATGTGCCCTTGACCCGGAATCGAACTCTCGACTCTTTGGTCCTTGGGCCGACACTCTAACCCCTGGGCAAAACTGGCCAGGGCTGGAGTGCCTGTTTTTGATTGGGCCACTAGATGCCAGCTCACCTGTCACTCCCCCTCCCACCGCCCTGTGACCCTCACACACTCAAAGCCAACCCACTTTTTCATGAGGAAGCGGTTGATGGTTTTCTGCTTCCGCATCACCTGGACAATCTTCCGGTTCAAGTAGACAAAGAGCGCCCCCCCAAAGCCACTGGCAATACTGGAGAGGGAAGAAGCATCATGGTAAGAGGGGTCTTCCCTCTTTTACCTCCTCCTCCCCCACAGCCCCAGGTCCCACAGCTCCTCACCCAATGACAGCAAAGGCTGGCAGCTCCTGGAGGTCAAAGGGGAAGTCAAGCCGGAACCGGGTTTTGAAGAGAGCAGTGATAGTCTCTGAAGGGAAGGCAGAGGGAGGCAGGTGTAGCATCGAGGGCCCCACCTGAGCCATCTGATGGGCTCCCCGCATCCCCCAGGTGCCCCCACCTTCATCACGGTTCCAGACCGCCAAGACCCGGAAGATGAAGGCACTGAAGGTGGCAGCAAAGAAGCCCCGCCAATAGTTCCGCACCGCGAAGAAGGTGGAGGTGACCTCAATGCTGAACAAGACACCTGCGAGGGGCGGAGGGCGCCACTTCAGGCCGGGGCCTGGGCCAGGACTCAGAGCCGACGAGAAGGGTAAAGGAGGCAAGGCCTGGGGCAGGGCTGGGGGCTGCACTGGCCGCCTACCTCCGATAGGTGCTGCAAAGCAGCAGCCCACTCCCACGGCACAGGCAGCGGCCAGCATCTCTGTGTTCCGGGATTCGTTCTGGTGAGAGTGGTGGACGGGGAATCAGCTGGGCTCAGCAGCCCACCCCTCTCCTCTGCCCTCCTCCAGGGTCGGCCTTACCTCATAGATGCCCCCGAAGAGGGAGAGGAACTTGCTGAGCAGCGCAGCACACATGCTTGCGATATGTACAAAAGGGCCCTGGGGGAGGGGGTCAGGAGGTGAGAGGGGAAGCAGCACGCCCTGACCCTGGCCTGGCTTCTTCCTCCACCGGGAGGGACTCCTTTATTCCCCAACCCGCAGTTACCTCTTTGCCAAGGGGCATCCCACTGCCCAGAGCACAGGTCAGCCCGATGACCTTAGCCACAAAGGTCTTGAGGGTGAGGTATTCCTTTAGCACCACGCCCCGCAAGATGGTCTTCATCTCGGGGATGCCGGACCCTGGAGAGTGGAGAGTCCCAGGAGAGTAATGTCATGGGCCTGGTTCAGGAGGCTCCACCTCTGCCCTTCCCTTCTCTCCCTACTGTACCGACAGCCTGAGGAGCCAGGATCTGTGTAAATCCAGCTGAGAAAGTGATGAGGACGACAGGATAGGTGACCCAGGCCAGGTACTGGAGCAAGAGGCTGGTGTTCAAGCCTCGAGACATCCACTGCTGAGCTGTGGGGGGAGGAAGTGCTGCTGGACCCCTGCGGGGCACACCCAGTCCCCGCCTGGCCGCTGGGCCATTTCGATAGGAGAGGCTGTCCAGGGACCATCATACAGAGCCCAGGTAAAGGGGCAGGGGGGCCCTAGAGGCCTGCAGTGGGGGCGAGGTCATTGTAGGTAAGAGGGTCAGTTGGAGAGGGGAGGCGAGGAGTCACGGCCTATGGGAGTGGCAGTGATTATGTCTGAAGACAGGCACTCAGGCGGCCAAGTAGCCAAGATACTGCGACAAGTTTGGCACGGAGGAAGCAGGTTGGTGTTTCCCAGCCCGCCCCTGCCAGCCCTGTCCTCACCCTGCAGACAGGCGGCAATGGCATAGTCCATGGCCCAGCTGACCAGCGCCATGACGAGCCCCAGCAGGACCAGGAAGATCCAGTCTTCACCAACCCTGGATACTAGGAACTTATGACAGCGTACGGAACAGACTGGGAGCAGGGAAGGAAAAAACGGGGGGGCTGGCACCAAAGTGCTCCTACCCCTGCCTCCCCCAACCCCCCATGGGCAGCTCTAATGAATGGCCTCTGTCCCCCCAGTACAGCACAGCCAGATCCCCTGCCCAACCCCAGAGTCTCACTGCGGCACCGGGCACAGCGGCTCTGTCCGTATTCGAGGAGTTCCAGGGGAGCTGGAGGGGACAGCGGGCTCCTCCAGGGCTCCGGCCCTGCCAGGCGGATCCGAGCAGCCTCCTCTTTGGCAAAAGCCCCAAGGTCCTGAGTGTACCGGCCATACATCTGAGCAATGGGGGAAACAGGGTTAGCAGCTCTGCGTGGCTGAGTGGGGGTTCAGGGAGGGACTGGGGCCTCCGCTCCCCTTCTCCCAGCCCCCAGATTACACATCCCCTCTTGAACCCACAGGTCCCACTTTGGCTTGGGGTGTGGGAACAATGCACATTGCAGACTGTGGGAGCCGTCCTGCCGGAGGGATGGGGACCGCCAAGGTACAGGGACACAGCTCTGGGGGTGGCAGAATAATCAGTCCTCTTCTCACAGCGCTGCCTGGGGGAGGGGAGCGCTGAGGAGGAGTGGGAGGGAAGCCCCAGAGGAGGAGAGATGGAAAAACCTACAGCTCTGGAAGTGGGAGGAGGGAAGGTCAGAGAATAAGGGATGGTCAAGGGCGTACGGGTAACAATAAGGTCCTCAAGGAGCTGGGGGCAGCTGAGTTGGGCCTAGGAACAGGCGGGGCCTCAATCCTTATCACGTTCCTGCCGGGCCTCTGGCCTGTGACCGAGTCAGCTGTACCCCTTCCTCCCACCCTAATCCCCTTGTCCCTATTCTCCATCCTCCCCCAGCCTGCCAGTCCAGCTTCCAGCTGGGAGTGGAAAGTCTCTCGGGTGGGTGGGGAGTACTTGGTGGCCTCAGCCCACACTGGAGCTGCCCTGAGTCCAGTGGTAGGCTGGGGGGCAGCAGAAGCTGATGGCTGGGCTGTGATGCTGGGGTGATGGGACCGGAGAGTCTCCGAGCTATGGCTAGACCTGCCAAGCTGGGCATGTGTTGAGGGTTGGGGAGGAGTAGATTCCGGCTGCCACCCGCAGAGCTTGGAGACACAAAGGGCTCCTGTTGGGACTGGGGGGTGGTGGTGGTGAGGGAGGGAAAGATGAGAGAGAGAGAGAGAGAGAGAGAGAGAGAGAGAGAGAGAGAGAGAACAAGATAGAGAACCAGAGAGAGGAGAGGTGGGGAGGGAAGAGAGGCCAGGGGAGAAGAGGAAGGAGAAGAAGGGAGGAGGAAGGGAGAGAAACAAAGTAAGAGTATAAACAGGCCGACACAATGTCAGAGTGGGAGGTGAGCCTGTGAGAAAAAGACAAAGGGATCGAAAGGAGAAGGGGGAGAGGCTGGAGCAGAGAGTGCCCGGGAGAGAGCTTGACCCTGAGAACTCACACCAGAGATAAAGACCAGGCGAAGGAGATGGGGCTGGGGCTGGTGCAACAGATAGACACCGTTTCAGGGCCAGGTGCCTGGCTTCCGAGACCAATGCCCCATTCTTGGCTCGTGCCGATGGACGGACACCTCCCACCCGATGTGAAGGCTCAGCCCTGTACCCTTGCTCCACCCTCCCCTGTCACCTCTCCCTGTCATCCTGTTCCATCCAGTCATTCCCTCTCTTAACTGGGCACCTCCCAGCCTCAATTACAGCCAGGGGCTCCCCCCTCCTGGAGAGATCCCCTCCCTGCCTCCTTCCTGGGCAAATTCCAGGACCAGCTGTTTGAAAAGGAGCCCTTCCCTAGAGTTTGGGCCCCCCCCACCCCAGTGACACAAGGAAGGGCAAAAGGCTTCTCCAACACTCAGTGACAGTGTGGCCACGAGTCAGCTCAGAACCCCAGGACCCCTGCTTCTAATGAGGGCAAGGGACACCCCCGGGGTGGGTAGGGGCTGGACACTCAGAGTAAGTAAGCATGGACAAAGGTCCCCGTTCCCACACCCATTCCTGCCTGACCCATCCCCCCTGAAGTTCCTGTCCCCCAGCGGGCAGGCC